ATATACAGTCCTCAGATTTTTTATAATTTAAATGTTTCCATGCAAGTTATTTGATATCCGTTGTTGTGGTAGTGTTAAGTGCTAATTGTTGACCAATTGTACGTCGTGGGGTTCTTTGTCTCTCCGTATTAAGCAAGTATTAAACTAATATAAAGTAGTTTGTTTGTGTATCCGTTTGTTAGTTTATCGATTTCGTAAACAACGTTATCATAATCAATTTCTGACGATATCAACTCTAGTAACAACATTCACACCGTCAGCTGTTTCTTAGTGACTTTAACGCACGGCAAAAACTGTATTCTGTTTTCTCTACAACTATCTACCCTTTGACTGACATTTGGTGGTTTTCTTTGGAGACTTTAACGCTCGTTGGTTTTTGTAATACCCTGCCTTATTCTTCTCTTGTATATTATTGTACTCTTTCTGATATGTCTTCGCCGAAAGCATCCAGCGCAAGTTCCAAAACTTCCACTGACCGTGTTACAAGGTCCAAAAGTTCTACTTCTAATGAGGATTTGTTGAATATTATTCTTTCTTTCAAGTCTGAAGTTCTCGCCTCAAATGAAGCACTTTCTAGTTCACAATCATCGCAATTTAATAGACTAAAAGCAGATATATCGAAAATCTCTAACCAGATGAGTGAACTCAAAAAAGAAAATGCAATATTAAAAGAAGAAATTGGTACGTTAAAGTTGAAAATTAATAGCCTCGAAGAAAAAAGCCCCTCAACTAATCCGTCTGCAATTACTAACCTGGTTTTGCAAGAACTTTTTGAACGTGACCGCTGTTCCTCCAACGTGATTGCTTATGGTATATCAGAGTCCACGTCTTCTTTGGTAGCCGAACGCACTGCACATGATAAATCCTCAATTTCCAATATTTTACTGCCACTTGGAAACTTTCTTCCGTTGAATGTCAAGTATATAAGGATTGGAAAACCACGTCCAGATTGTACCCGCCCATTGAAGCTAGTTTGTGCTAGCAAAGAGGAAGCAAAATCCTTGCTCTACAAGTACAAAGAACATAAGCGGTCAGGTACTCAATTTCAAAATGGTTTCAATCTTGTCAAGGATAAGACCCAACTTGAAAGACAACAATTGCGCTCTTATCACGAAGAAATGGCTTCACGTGCTGCAAAGGGGGAATTGAATCTACGCAACTACTTTGAAAATGGATCGCCGAAGGTTGGGACTATCCGGTCAAAAAACGAACCTCATCCTCCTCAACTGCCTGTTCATTAACTGGATTCTATCAAAATTGCCGCGGACTTAGAACAAAACTTCCAACTTTTATACGTAATGTATCTGCTTTAAATTATTCTTTCATTATCCTTACTGAAACATGGTTGTCAGAAAATTTT